TTATTAGTCTCTAGTAATCTCTCATAAGTGTCCTAGTAAACATGTTTATAATGACCCTACAATAGTTAGATATGTCATCCAGTATCACTTTGTAAGATACTTACAATAGTCTAGTAGACCACCTAGTACCAGTTAGTAAGGGCCCTACAGTAGCCTACAAAGTGATATATTGACTCCTAGCCTGTTGTCTAGTATAATGTTTAGACTGGCAAGTATAGGCACTGCACGGCAACAGTGAGGTCCATCGACAAAATATCTAAACTCAGCTGGGTGTTGAAAGTCAGCCTACCGCATTTGGACAAGATTTTCGGACTCAGCCCATGATGTTGAACTTGAATGGCTTGTAGCTCACTCAATTCTACTCGGATTTTGATGAACCAAGCATGCATTCTGACCGGTTTGTTGAGCTGAATCTGATGGTCTCACATTCAGAACACCAAAATGACTTCCTGCAGTGCTACAATCCATTTTGGCTCAAAGCACTTGTTTTCACACATCTAGCCAAACTTGCCAGGCTTGTAGTTCTCTCAATTCTGCTCGGATTTGGATAAACCAAGTGGCCATTCTGACCATATTTTCAAGCTGAATCTTACGGTATTACTCTCAGAATATCGAAATCACTTCCTGGAGTGTTACAGTCCATTTTCTCTGTTTTCTCTCACTTCTCCTTGTTTCTTTAAGAAAAAAACAATGTGCACTGCTTGTGAAAAATAACGCGCCCTATCTAGCATGTTCATGTGCATTTTAGAGTCATTCTCAAATTTTCTGATATTTATACAAATTTTCTGCACTTCACACTGAGCATTCTAATCCAAAACTCAGATATCTCAGCGAGTTTTACTCAGATTTACTTGGTTTAAGAGAGCATTATGCTCCATTTCCTTCACAGATTTCAATGGTACTGCTTTGTATGTGTTGGAATTAGTATGTGCTTCTATAATTTCACTGACTATGATGCATTGGTTTTCTATGGCTGCTGTGGCACTTCTGTTGATTACTATTTGTGCAAGTCGCGTTGGTTTCTACTACAATCACTTTGAAAGACCGCCTGTATGCAAGATGTAGTAGAGTAAGAACAGGCACTACAAAGTTTGTAGTTAAACCCTAGACCTAACCCAGGACTAGGTGCAGCCCATGCATACAAATTTGTATTGAAAAGTCGTTCCCACGCATAGGGGCCGTTTCATCTGTCCCTCAGGATTTTGGCGGAAGCCCTATCCCATAAAGAACGATTCCTTCGTACCTCATGAATCATAATTTGTAACAGTTTCTAGTCTCATTTTTTGTAGTCATTGTTATAGGCACATTTTTCACAGTTTCCAGTGTCACTTTTGTAGTCATTCTTATAAACTCATTTGTGATGGTTTCTTATCTCATTTTTTGTGGTAATTCTTATAAGCACACTTGTAACAGTTTCTGCTGTCATTTTTTGTAGTGATTCTTATAGACACACATTTGTTCTTGAAGTCAAAGTAAGTGATCTTGAAACTGTTATAACAAATCAGCAGAAAAAAAACTAAAAGACAAATCTTACAGTTTTCACTAGTAGGTGGATTATAATACACATTTTAAATTGAACTTGAGCAAAAGTGATTATTCTAAGGCTGAGAAAAATTGTAACAAACTGCAAAAAAAGTGAGAGACTAAGAAACTTTCTAGTTGTTCTCAGTAGACATTCTAAGACTCAGCAAATGCAAATTAATGTGAAAAAATTGTGAAATAACAAGTTTCATAGTTCTGACTAGTAAACATGCCATAAAATGCACTTGAAGCCCTTTTAAAATGAAAGTGAGTGCTATTGAACACAGAAAATTAATTATAAAAATCTGCTTTGTCATTGTCACTATTAGATGTATTGCAATATACAGTTTGAGTCTCTCGAAGTGTTTTAACTTTCTAAACATTATAAAAAATTATAAGATAACACAACTTATTGTCTTTACTAGTAAATGAACTGTATGATAAATTTCAAGTAAAAGTAAGTGTTTTAAGCCTAAGAAAGGCTGTAAAGACTCTGAAAAGTTATACACTAATAACTCTTATAGTTTTCACCAGAAGATGAACATTAGGACACACTTTAAATAAATATCAAATTAAAAAAATGTTTTAAGATTTCTACTTCAACATCTGTTGATTGACTAACCCTCCTGACATTCAATAACTCTCGGATTGCTACACCTTTAGCGAACCAAAGTGATGTATTTAACCTGTATATGGGTTCATTGACTTGTGTGAAGTGGGCCATTGCTTCACATGGCAGTAACGATTCCGGAAAGATTTTAAGGAAATCTTAGAGATTGTGCTAATTTCAACTTCTTTAATGTTTCAAATTATTTATCAGTTCTAAAGCATGTAGTCTTAGTTCAAATTTGCTTAGGGTATACCTTACAATATCTCGACTAGTAAAGGCCCTTAAGTGTAATTTAGACATATCTCACATATGAAATTTTATAGTCAAATTTTGTTCCCAGAATTTGAATATCTCAAAGGCAAGTGTCCACTGCTACATCACTTCCATAATGATACCTTTATACCTCAGGAACCATAATTATATTGTCTTATAATAATTTCTTATTAGTAGTAACTATAAGATTGGGCATTTTATAAGATTTTTAAACTGCACAGTAGTTAATTCTACTTTATAGGCATATTTGTAGCATCTCTTCTACTGGTGGCTACAATGTTTCTTATTTTGCAATTTTTCCTCATTTTTTATGATTTATCTAAGCCTGAAAACTGTCACCTATCATATAATCTGTTTATTAACAAGCACATTGTTTTGTTATGTTGCTAAAGCTCAAAGCACCTACTTTCAATTTAAAAGCATTTTGTAGTATGTTTACTGAGAATAACTATAAATTTTCACATTCTGTAAATTTTTTCAAATTTTTATAATATTTCTGAATCTTAAAACATTTTTTTAATTTTTAATTTATTTAATATCTATCCTAATGTTCATCTTCTGGTGAAAACTATAAGATTTATTACTTCATAATTTTTCAAAGTCTTTACAGCCTTTCTCAGACTTGAAACTCTTACTTTTGCTGGAAATTTATCGTATAGTTTATTTGCTAGTAAAGATAATAACTTGTGTTATTTTATAATTTTGAAATTCTTTTTGGAAGTTAAAACACTTCAAGAGACTCAAAATGTATATAAAGTATATACCACAGAATACCACACCACCGGTGACAGATATGGTTACCTGCATGGTAACCTCTCGCATAACCAAGCAAGAATTGCCTCTAATACACGCTTGGTCATCAGGACTGTAACCTGATAATGTCAAATCTGGCAATTTTGTGACTCAATTAGTGACAATGACAAAGCAGATTTTTTAATTTTCTGAGTTCAATAGCACTCACTTTTATTTTAAAAGTGCTTCAAGTGCATTTTATAGCACATTTACTAGTCAAAACTATGAAACTTGTTGTTTCACAATTTTTTCAGATTAATTCACATTTTTCTGAGTCTCAAAATGTCTAACAGTAATAACTAAAAGGTTTCTTAGTCTCTCAATGTTTTTGCAGTTTTTGACAATTTTTCTCAGCCTTAGAATAATTACTTTTACTCAAGTCCAATTTAAAATGTGTATTATAATCCACCTACTGGTGAAAACTGTAAGATTTGTCTTTTAGTTTCTTTTGTGCTGATTTGTTATAACATTTTCAAGATCACTTACTTTGACTTCAAGAACAAATGTGCCTATAAGATTCATTACAAAAAATAACACAAGAAAGTGTTACAAATGTGTCTATAGGAATCACTACAAAAAAGGTACTAGAAACTGTTACAAATGTGCAATCACTACAAAAAATGAGACTAGAAACTATTACAAATTAGCTTATAAAAATCACTAGAAAAATTGACACTAGAAACTGCCATAAATGTATTGATAAGAATCACTATAAAAAATGTTACCAACGTACCTACAAGAATCACTGCAAAAAACGACCCTAGAAACTGTTACAAATTAGCTTATAAGAATCACTACAAAATTGATGCTAGAAACTATTACAAATGTGCTTATAAGAATCACTACAAAAAATAGTGCTAGAAATTGTTACAAATGTGCTTATAAGAATCACTACAAAAAATGGTACTAGAAACTGTTACACATGTGTTTATAAGAATCACTACACAAATGAGACTAGAAACTGTTACAAATGTGCTTATAAGAATCACTACAAAAGATTAGACTGGAAACTATTACAAATGTGCTTATAAGAATCACTACAAAAATGGTACTAGAAACTGTTACAAATGTGTTTATAAGAATCATTACAAAAAATGACACTAGAAACTGTTACAAATGTACCTACAGCATTGTAATAAAATGTATGTAAGAAATTATATTCATTGCTGACTCCTAGTATATCATCTAATAATATGTAGTAAGTGTTCTACAATGTCCCACTGTACTAAGTTATGTCAGTTACGATTCCTGAGGTACGAAGGAATCGTTCTTATACAGGATGAGCCCTAGAGGGCGCTTAGACCGTAAAGCGGTTTTGCCCAAACTGTGGGAATGGTTTTTGACTACAAATTTTGTATATGTGACCTAAGGTTAGGGATGAATTTGTAGGAATGACACAAAGGTTAGGGTTAGACTCTATGTACAAATTTTCTAACAGCTGCTCAACTACAATGTAACTACAGGTGGACATTCAAAAAAAGTTGTATTGAAAACCGACGCAACTTGTACAAAGCACTGCTAACAGATGCGTGACTGGAGCACTTAGATTAGATAACAGATAGTGGTCAAGCATTCAGATGCTTTAATGGTTGCAGTTGACCTCAGACTATTGCACAAGCAGCAACAGATAGTGCAGCGGCGATGATAAAACTCTCTTCAAATGTACAACGACCAGTGCAAGCATACGAAATCTGCTATGGAAAACTCCAACGGTAACCTCTGAGATGGATGCCAGCTTACCCACCTTCAACACTCTCCCACAAGGTGAGCACCTATCGAGGGTAAGGAGGTGAAAGGGAAAAAATTAAAACAAATGCAAAACCTCCCCTAAGTCATCCCAAACCCTCACCAACATCACAGCCTCATCCTTCTCATCCTCCAAAGAAACAGCAATGCAATGACAGAATAGTGTTGACAGATGCTGACCTATGAGTTTCCTCAAGTACAGCCTATGCATCTCGGGGTTTTCTGAACCCAACACGAAAGCCATCTGCGAGGGACTGAGGTTCATCAAGATCTTCCAGTATGCCTGCTCACGCTTCTTCTTCTTCACTGCCACTCCCTTTGGTCCTCTCGCTATTAGCTCCTCCTCCTCGGGCCCAACAACCTCCCACAAATCTGCAGCAACCAGATGCGCCTTCATCAGGGCACTCCACTGGTAGTTGCCCTTAATGAGCTTGAGAATGTGCGAGTCATGTTCTGACATAGTGACCACTGATGAAATCGATGTAGAATAGAATAGAAATAGGAATGAATGGAAAATGATTGGATGACTTGGTAGACGAGTGCACAAGCCAAAGGTAACTGCTGAAAATCAAGAGTGTAGGCCAAAATGCAGTTGCAAGTGTGACTACTGATTGTTGCTAGTGGTTGATTTGAGGATGCACAGCAAAAGAATAAGCAGGGTGTATAAGCAGTAGGAAGAAGCAAACACTAGGGTGTTAGAGCTTGGGGCTTATAACCTATTGCACAAGCAGCAACAGGCAGCGCAGCAGTGATGATAAAATTCTCTCCCAACGTATGACAACCAGCGTGAACATACAAAATCTACTATGGAAAACTCCACCGGCAACCTTCGAGATGGGTGCCAGCTTGCCCACCTTCAACACAGACATGTTGTATTACTCACAATTGTTATACTAAATAACTTGAAGACCTAGTATAGAGGTTTTCCCAAACATATCCTACAATATCTCATACAGAGGCTCTCTGAAACATATTATAGAATATCTAACAGTAACACTAAATCATTGCTCACTCTAATGCTATATTCTCTACCTCTGCATGCTTTGGTTTCACCATGTATATAAGATGTTTTAGTGTGCAGGCCATCATATTTGTACTCATTTAAATCTCTTTATAATAAAGAGAATTTGTGGTCAGAAAGAGAAGCAAAGCTAGAAGGATAAATAACTTGCCTCAAAGGACAAACTAGAATTTTTCCTGATGCTATTTGGATGTCCAATAATAGGTAGATGAGATTTTGTAAGTCCAGAAGCACTCACTTTTATAGAATACAGTGAGAAACTACTTATAGCAAACATAATTTAATAATCAAGCTAGAATGACTCTGTGCATTCCTAGTTAACAGTGCACACTATATATAATGTTATCATATACTATGAGATTAGATATATAATTTTTGATTGTATCTCTGCATTTTCTTGAGCTCTGTAGGTGCTGCTGAGATGCAGTGACTGTTATAATTTACTGCTCTTAGAAAAGCTAAAACAGCGCTGTAATTATAACTAGATGCTATCTGAAAAGAACACCATTAAATTCTCCTCAAAAAACTGATAAAAATGTGCACCAGAATCATGTTATTTGAAGCAAAACTGAGAGAACAGCAGGCAGAACAAGTTTCTGAGCCCAGAAAAACAAGAGAGTTGCCTAAATTGGTTTAAGGTTTGAGCGGACAACGAAAAAAGCGTCGATGCTATCCAAAAAATCGAGCGCATCGACACTTTTTTCGTTCTCAGCGCTCTGGTGGCTGAAGAATTACTAAATGCGGAAAAATGTTCAAAGTCAGCACTTCTGTTTCTGGACTAAAGAGCCATTCACCAGGTATTTCCGGGACCACTATAGAGCTTGGCTTCCGGGTTATTAGCTTCATTAGTAACTGTTGTAGGGCGGCTTTTAAGCACTATAAGCTCAGAGTTTTGGTATAAGTACAGGTTATGACAACAATTGTAACACATCTTGCAAGTCTGAGCTACTGTAAGGTCTCTACAAACCCATACTAGGTGACATTTTAAACTATTGTAAGGCCTTTACAATACAAACTAGATGACATATCAGAATATTATGACATCCTTACAAACTGATACTAGAGGGTGTACTTGAATTCAATAAACAGTATAACAAGGCATTGTAGGAGGCTTCCTAAACATTACTATACAACATGCTAGGAGTCAATATATCACTTTACTGTAAAGCCCTCGTGAATCGGGTCATATACTAGACAATTGTAAGCATATTATAAACTGACACTAGGTGACATATCTAACTATTGTAAGGCCCTTACAAAGTCGTATACTAGGACATTTACCAGAGATTTCTAGACACTATTGCAGGCTAATGAGGTTACTGGAGATTCTCACAAGTGACATCAGGTGATACAGTATATTAGAAGCCAGTATAATAGGCTATTGTTGACTTGCTTAATATTACTCAACAATATACTAAGAGTCAGTACACAACTTTGTAAACTATTGTAAGGCCCTTATCAACTGACACAACTTAGTACAGTGGGAACACTTACTACATATTATTAGATGGCATACTAGAAGTCAGTAATGAATATAATTTCTTACATACATTTTGTTACAATGCTGTAGGTACATTTGTAACAGTTTCTAGTGTCATTTTTTGTAATGATTCTTATAGGCACATTTGTAACAGTTTTTAGTATTATTTTTTGTAGTGATTCTTATAGGCATGTTGGTAACATTTTTGTAGTGATTCTTATAAGCACATTTGTAATAGTTTCCAGTCACATTTTTTGTAGTGATTTTTATAAGCACATTTGTAACAGTTTTTAGTCTTATTTGTGTAGTAATTCTTATAAGCACATTCGTAATAGTTTCCAGTCTAATCTTTTGTAGTGATTCTTGTAAGCACATTTGTAACAGTTTCTAGCACTATTTTTGTAGTGATTCTTATAAGCTAATTTGTAACAGTTTCTAGGGTCGTTTTTTGCAGTGATTCTTGTAGGCACATTAGTAACATTTTTTGTAGTGATTCTTATAAACACATTTGTGACAATTTCTAGTGACAATTTTTCTAGTGATTTTTATAAGCTAATTTGTAACATTCTAGTCTCATTTCTTCTAGTGATTGCACATTTGTAACAGTTTTTAGTACCTTTTTTGTAGTGATTCCTATAGACACATTTGTAACACTTTCTTGTGTTATTTTTTGTAATGAATCTTATATGCAGATTTCTTGAAGTCAAAGTAAGTGATCTTGGAACTGTTATAACAAATCAGCAGAAAAAATTTAAAAGACAAATCTTACAGTTTTCACTAGTAGGCGGATTACAATACACATTTTAAATTGGATTTGAGCAGAAGTAATTATTCTAAGGCCGAGAAAATTTGTCAAAAACTGCAAAAACATTGAGAGACTAAGAAACTTTTTTTACCATTAGACATTTTGAGACTCAGAAAAATGCGAATTAATCTGAAAAAATTGTGACACAACAAGTTTCATAGTTTTGACTAGTAAATGTGCTACAAAATGCACTTGAAGCACTTTTAAAGTAAAAGTGAGTGCTATTGAACTTAGAAAATTAATAATAAAAATCTGCTTTGTCATTGTCACTAATCGAGTCATAAAATTGCCAGATTGACATTATCAGGTTACAGTCCTGATGACCAAGCGTGTATTAGAGGCGATTCTTGCTTGGTTATGCAAGAGGTTACCACGCAGGTAACCACATCTGTCACCGGTGGTGTGGTATTCTGTGGTATATACTTTATATACATTTTGAGTCTCTTGAAGTGTTTTAACTTCCAAAAAGAATTTTCAAGTTTTAAAATAACATAATTTATTATTTTTACTAGCAAATAAACTATATGATAAATTTTCAGCAAAAGTGAAAGTTTCAAGTCTGAGAAAGGCTGTAAAGACTTTGAAAATTATAAGGTAATAAATCTTATAGTTTTCACCAGCAAATGAACATTAGGATACACATTAAATGAATTTAAAATTAAAAAATGTTTTAAGATTCAGAAATATTAAAAAAATTCAAAAAATTTACAGATTGTGAAAATTTATAGCTATTCCCAGGAAACATACAAAATGCTTTTAAATTGAAAGTAGGTGCTTTGAGCTTTAGCAACATAACAAAACAATGTGCTTGTTAGTAAACAGATTATATGATAGGTGACAGTTTTCAGGCTTAGATAAATTATAAAAAATGAGGAAAAATTGCAAAATAAAAACCATTATAGCTACTACCACAAGAAATGCTACAAATATGCCTATAAAGTAGAATTAACTACTGTGCAGTTTAAAAAACTTATTAAATGCTCAATTTAATAGTTACTACTAATAAGAAATTATTATAAGACAATGTAATTATGATTCCTGAGGTATAAAGGTATCATTATGGAAGTGATGTAGCAGTGGACACTTGCCTTTGAGATAATTTTTTTCAAATTCTGGAAACAAAATTTGACTATAAAATTTCACGTGTGAGACATGTCTAAATTACAATTAAGAGCCTTTACTAGTAGAGATATTGTAAGGTATACCCTAAGCCAATTTGAACTAAGACTACTTGCTTTAGAACTCCAAAAAAAATTGAAACATTTAAAAAGTTGAAATTAGCATGATCTCTAAGATTTTCTTAAAGTCTTTCAGGAATCATTATTGCCATGTGAAGCAATGGCCCACTTCACACAAGTTGATAAGAGCCTTACAAAGTTGTCTACTGACTCTTAGTATATTGATATTCAGCAAGTCAACAATAGCCTATTATACTGGCTCCTAATATACTGTATCACCTGATGTCACTTTGTAAGAATCTTTAGTAACCTACAATATTCTAGTAAATGTCCTAGTATGCAACTTTGTAAGGGCCTTACAATAGGATATGTCACCTAGTGTCAGTTTATAATATGCTTATAATTGTCTAGTATACGACCTTGTCACATGTGACCTGCAAGCTCAGTCGAAAATGTACAGTATATGCATCTGTGAAACTAAAGCAAGTTTTCCCATCAGGAATTGTAGGATTTGTTTAAGAGAACCTCTGCACCATGTTATTTAGTATAAAAATTGTGAGTAATACAACTAAAACTGCCCAAAAACATACATGTTTAAGGTTAACTGCAACAGGGAAAGCACCGGGACACCTGAGCACTATCATTTATCTAGTCTAAGTGCTTCAGCCACTCATCTGTTGACAGCGCTTTGTACAAGTTGCGTTGGTTTTCAATACAACTTTTTTTGAATGTCCGCCTATAGTTACACTTGTGGGGAGTAGGCCACTGCTTTGCATGGCAGGAACGATTCCTGAGGTTTAATGTTTCTACTTTTATCTTATTATCTAATTATTTTCACATGCTTTAATTATTCTATATTACTCCTTAGTAGTTGATTACTTGTGAAGAGTGGTCCATTGTATTGCATTGCATAGCATCTTGTATTTTTATTAGACACCTATTTAAAGGTTTCACCAGTTGTATTCACTCAAAACAG